ACTAATATATACGTTGACACATGTTAAATATAATAATAGGAAGGGTTCTATGCCTATTTTGCCTTCTGAATGATTACATCATCTATTTTATAGAAACCATCAAAAGAAGTATTTCATAGTTTACCCACTTTACAATCTTCTCCAGGACACACAGTAACTTTCTCAAAAGTTCAATTTGTAATGTATAATCGCCTAAGAAGTAAATTATACTCAGCTTTACTTTTCAGAACATAATTAGAGTATAGTGTTTACACAGCTTTGACCTTAACAAATGTGCTTTACCACCAGCAATTCAAGAAGGTAAATCTACTAATGTATAATTCATCATGACATTTTTCAGGAAATGGTAGAAAATTTCTCATACTTCAAATACTTTATGCCATAAAGACACTTCCATCGTGCAATTAGATATTGAAAAACATCTCATATTTTATTGCTCTTTAAAAAAATTTGCATTAAATTTATTACAGTACTGACAAATGAGTTCTGAAGCTCATGGAATAATTGTAGTCAATGAGTTATTTAAAAATGCCTCAAACATGGAGAATTCGGGCAGCTCTCCATGCTCACTGTGATTGCTTGGCTCTGTCCACATGACTTATCTAGTGCTTAGTCTAGGGCACATTGCATCCAAGGACTGCACAGCTCTGCACATTTTAGTTCATTCAAGCCTCATAACAAAACTCTAGAAAGTGACCATTTTGAACCTGCCTATTTTATAGGTGAAGAAACTTGGAAAGGCTTAAAGAAGTTAAGTAACTTGACCATTTTTATACAACTAAGATGTGTTGGTGCTGGGGTTTAAAAGCAAATGTTTACTTGGCCTGCTTCAACAAGCTCCTCCTTTTCAATGAGGGAGTCTTGTGAGTGGGTTAAGAGGGCAGCATGAAAGCATTGGCTGCCTGGGAGGCATGGGATCAGGCTGAATTTGAACTGCTTTATACTCTCACCATGTGTATACAGTTATTGAGTATGTGGTGTGCAAGGAAAGATGAATAGAGTCAGGTCTCCAGCCTCACAGAGTGTACTTGGAAACAGAGCCCTCACTCAGTGTTTTTAATTATTTGCTAGTTGCAAAATACATATTTCCACAATGTATTTATTAAGAACAAGATTCTGACAATTTTCATGCTAGTTCTTACTTTCTTTTAGTCAAAATGAAGATATTAGATGTTTACAATAGTAAAAGATATATATATATATATATATATATATATATATATATACTTGAATATCTAAACTTGAGGAGCTGCTTTAATGAATTTTGATTATACAGTAGAATACTATATAACAGCTAAAAATAATGAATTAAAATACATTTATCTCACTATGTAAAATGGCAACATAGAGATGTGTAATATAGTCTCATTCTGTGAGACATCACAATGTCTTTAAGAGAAAAATCTGAAAACATAGTCATGAAAACCCTCATAGTGGTTCTCTCTGAGTGGTGACATTGCAGGGAATTTTAATTTTCTTCTGTGTGCTTACTTATTTTTTCTACTTTAAAAATAATGTTCATCATATTAAATTTAATAAAAATTAAATTCTGGACAAGAATTCAATCCTTAATTATTACCAAATTCAGTTCCAAAAAACAGAAGGAAGATATTCTGCAAAGTACTGTCAAAGGAATATGCATGTGACAAATGATAATATTTACTGAGTGTAAAAACACATGATATAAAAGGCAAGAATCATTCCAGTTTGTGAACAAGAACTCAAAAAATTTAAACAGATTTGCAGCTCCCCATTTTCAACTGCAAATAAAAAGCAAGTGGCTCCCTTTTATGATTTCAGTAAATGCAGAATGTTATGCAATGGTAATCTGTGAAAACTCTCTATAAAAGTCTAAATAATGCTAAATGTTTATTATTATTGAATTTAATAATAATTTTAACTACATAAACAGAGTTAAAATTTTAAAAGTAAATTATTTATCTTTTTCTTTTTTTCTTGTTATACTGCCACTGTTTTTAAAATTAGAATCTTTCTTTCCCTGGAATCATTAAATATGAATATGAACTGTATGCTGTGTTATTTGTCCAAAGGTTAGAAAATTTTTAATTATTCAAAGAACAGTCAACAAAGAAGACCTTGGGTATGATGACCTGCTTAGAAATTTAAAGCCATTCATTCCTTCTGTATTTGTTGCCAATGAACACGATTGCTTTTCTTAATCCCAGAGTCTAAGTAATAAGTAAACTTCAACCAATATAGAACAGGTACTTTATCAAGTGCTACAGGTAACACTGAGATAGATTAATCAGGTAGGGATCCAGCAAGACACTAAAGGCAGTGCATAGATTCCCATAAGCAACACAAGAACAAAACAAGGGCCATAATGCAGACAAGGGAACATGAAGTTTTAGCAGGAAATGGGATTATTTTCAATGATGGAGAATAGGTATGGTCTTGTGTTACGGGGTGGCATATGATTTAATTAGTATTTGACAGTGACTCACTTTAAATAAAAATATCAGTTGACTGAACATTTAAGTGTAAAGATCAGATCCATCCAACTGAGTTTTCTAATAGGCAGATTTCATTATAAACTCAAACTCACACATTTTGACAAAGACTGAAGATTTACAATCACAAACCATCATGCAAGTCTGTTACTAGAAAAAAAAAGTATTCTTTATAACCAATGTCAGTTCTTCTACCTTAGAAAGATGTGAGGATGAGGGTAGCAACTGAGACTCTGCGATGGAGCCTGAACCAAGGGGAAACTCACGGCAGAGTTGCTGCTTTTTTGCTTACATGGGCTTAGAATAAGATCATATGTGGACATTAGATCAAGGGCAAACACAACAAGGGGATTGGACTATGAGCACATGATAAAAGCGAGAGCACACAAGGGAGGGGTGAGGATAGGTAAGACACCTAAAAAACTAGCTAGCATTTGTTGCCCTTAACGCAGAGAAACTAAAGCAGATACCTTAAAGCAACTGAGGCCAATAGGAAAAGGGGACCAGGAACTAGAGAAAAGGTTAGATTAAAAAGAATTAACCTAGAAGGTAACACCCACGCACAGGAAATCAATGTGAGTCAATGCCCTGTATAGCTATCCTTATCTCAACCAGCAAAACCCCTTGTTCCTTCCTATTATTGCTTATACTCTCTCTACAACAAAATTAGAGATAAGGGCAAAATAGTTTTTGCTGGGTATTGAGGGGGGGAGGGGGTGGAGTGGGTGGTAAGGGAGGGGGTGGGGGCAGGGGGGAGAAATAAACCAAGCCTTGTATGCACATATGAATAATAAAAGAAAAATGAAAAAAAAAAAAGATCAGATGATCTTAAAGGCACAGAACCTTAATAAAAACTAGTAATGGCTTTTGAGTGCTTGTGCTTATCCTAAGGACATACAAAAGTTAGCGCTTTTGAGTGGTATTTCTAAACTGTACACACATGTTTTGGTTAGATGCTGAGATTTGTAGCCTTTCCTTCTCCACCCTCCACAAATTTTTGGTCAGCACACAAGCACCCAAAATGGCAGCTGCAACAAGACTTTCTTGGAGAAGCTGGGACAGTCATGTGTTTAGGAAGAGGTAGATAGCCAAAACAGCCTGTTAATGTACATTTTCATTAGAAATTCTTTGATTTCTTAAATTTTGCATTGCAAGTGTCTTCAATTTAAATGAGTGAGTATTTTCTCTAGATATTTCTGACATTTTAATTATTTTGGAACCTAACCACAGACAAAGGGGTGATAAATATATTTTTTCTCTGATAGTCATAAAGGTCTGGATGCAGGAATATGAATTCTGTGACAGTATACCCTTGTAGTCTATGGGAATAAGATTGATTCCCACAAGGTCCATGCAAGAGAATTGTTTCCCTTCTTTTATAGGTCCTGTCATGTATTTATGCTACTCAAAAGACCAAGTAGTGGAGACCCTATCTTAAAAAAAAAAGAAAACAAAGACAAACAGACCAAGTAGGTTAGAAAGTGTTGTCTCTGTGTTTGACCTTAGGGTAAACCAAACACTCAAAAATGAATACTACTTTTTTTCCAATTTGAAGTCTTTAAGATCATTGGTTTTATTATAAAATTATGCAAGCTAAAATCATGTTTCTTTATAAGAATAAAACAGAGTGGAGTGAGTTTTGGAAAGCTTCACATAGGGACACCTAGGTTCAAATTCAGACTCCTTTCTAGTTGTATAAACTTGGGCAAGTCACTTAATATCAATTTCCAAACTGTAAATGAGAAAAATATGTCCAGCATCGTAAAATGAGTGAGGTTGAAATAAAATACTCTATGCTTCACGGCTTGGTAAAGTCATACAATGCATGATAACTATTCTGGCTATGATTATTAATTTGAGCTTTTAAGTGTAAAAACAACAACAATCTATATTAATTCAGAACCATCATCTCTACTAATTGGGTCTGACAAAGACAAACTTCTTTCCCTCCACAGAAGATGTACTTTGTATTAGTAATTCAGTGCATTGATTTCATTACCTCTTAGATTCTAGGCTCTTCCCTGGGGGCGGGGAACACAAAGATGAGCGCTTTGAAACCCAAATCACATGTCAAGCCTTGTTTCCAGTGTGGCTCACCCATGGGGTCCTATAATCACCCCGACCAAGTGTGATCTTGTCAAACTCTGAATGACTCAGCCTCTTACTTGTTTTTCTCCTATAGCTTTTAGCCCAGGCTGATGCTAGGGTGAAGGTGGAGTGGAGTCTACAGCTCTACAGCTTTGCTGTTTATTACCATGGATTTTGGAAAAATTGCTTTCCTTTAACTGAGTCTCAGTTTTTCTTATTTGTGAAATGGGCTTATTTCTATGGGTCAGTAATGAATTTTTTGAACTGCCATTTAATAAATGTGGTAACTGAGATTTGGGGAAGTTAAATAGCTTACCTAAAGCTGCAAGAGTAATTAAAATATTTCTAAAATTCTAAGTTCTGTATGTTTTCCATTAGTCCAAAATCACCATCTATACTGAGTTTGCAAGGAGTGTAGAAAATTTATATTTCAGTACATACCTGCTTCGTGAATCTCTTCCTTTCCAGTGTATGAAGAAAACACCTGCCTAGAGAACTTATACTGTTGTTCCCGAAAATTGTTTTGTAAATAGTCCATCAGCATGACATACCCAGACTGCTGCATTGTAAGAACGTCACAAAATACAGCCAACTGGAAGGAAGACCAAATAATTTAACATATCTGCTTCAGAGGAATCAGTAAATGTCTTAAAACATATACTTTGTTGTAAAGCTAGAAAAGAATTCATCTTTAAATTACTTCAAATTACTTCATTTATATGAACTTCCAAGATTACCTGGCTTTCAGAGATGCTAACTGTATCTTTAAAAACAATCCATTCAACTGTGTCTGTGCAGGGAGGTGATGTCAATGAGCCATTGTAAATGTAATACTTGTCAGTTGAGTTTGGCAGAAGATTCAGCAAAACGAAAGAGTCTAAGGCAGCCTGCTTCCCTGCAAAGTAATAGTATATATCTTAGCAGGAACCTTGACACTGGACCTTAGGTGTTCACAGCTGCTATGAAACAGAGATATGAGCTTTGCTATGTATTTAATCAGAACTGAAATTTTAAGAATATTTTACATATAAAAATGATGATAAATCTGGCATACTCAAGTTGTCTTAAATATATCACTATATAGTGTTAGATGTCTTGTCTTTGCAACATGTTGCTGAAAAGAATAGTTTAAATATAAAATATATTCAGAAGTCCTATCATCTCAATAGACAAAGTTACATATTTTAATAAGATTCAATTCTAGTCCATGGAAAACAAAGCAAACTTTAGTCTGATGGTTCTCATCTTCAAAAATTTATAATGAGCATCATATTTAAGAATGACTTAATGAAATCTCTTCCCCTAGAAATCAAGAATGAGACAAGGATGTCCCATACCACTTCATTTGACATTGAACTGGAGGACCAGTACAATCATGTAAACAAAAGAAGCAAAACACATAAGGACTGTCAAGGAATAAATGATGCAATGAGAATTAGAAAATAACATGTAAAATGTTAAGTAATTTATATACTTAAGACTTAATAAGTAAATTTTGTTAAGTCACTATAAACAATATACAAATCATTGCATTTCTATGTACCAGTATCAAACAACAGAAAATGAAATTTAAAACACTAACTTAAGAAAAAAACAAAATATCAAATATTAAAAGAAAATCTGATAAATGATGTGTAAAGTATCTACGTTGAAAACCATTCTTGAGAGAACTCAATAAAACCTTAAAAAGGTAAGAAGTAACATATGCGTTTGAAGATTCAGTATTGTGGAAAAGGTTAATTATCCCCAAAGTGTGTTGTAGGTTCAAAAAAGTCTTAACCAAAAACCTCAGAAGTGTGTATGGGTGTGTGTGAATTGACATGCTAATCTTTAAATGGAAACACTAGGAAAAGTTAAGACAATCTTGAACAATAAAAAGCTTAGAACTTCTGTTATCAGGTATACAAACCTTTGGAAATCATATTAGTGAGGTATTTATACAAAGATAAAGAGAAGAATGGGAGGGATAGAGAATACAGACCCACATGTATATTGTCACTTGGTTTATGACAGAAAAATTACTAGGTAGTGTAGAATGGGGGGATTTTTTAAACAAACAGTCTATCCTTGAGGAAAAAAGTGAATCTTGACATTATAAATACTAACCAAGCCTAAGCAGATTATAGATATTAAAATGAACAAACAATAACATTTTTAGAGGAAAGCATAGAACGTTATCTTCATCACCTTATGGTGGGTTGAGATTTCTGAAATGACACACAAAAATAGTTACTCATAAAAGAAAAAATGATAAAATCCAGTACATGATAATAAATATTTATTCACTAATAGTTACTATTAGGAAGCTTAATGGGGCAATTCAAAGAGTGGAAAATATATTCTGGATATAATATATACATAACAGTTATGTTTATACAGATATATTATTCATATGTATATGATTAATGTACATATATGTTTATATTCTTGTACTTGAATCCAGATTGGAGAACTCTCATACAAAAATTGGCACAGCTTTCCTAAGTGGGCCATCTGGCCTTAGAAACCTGAAACAATCTAAATATATCTTTCTCCTGCCATTTTTATTTTTGCATCTTTCTTATAGTGCTTGCCAATAGCACTGCTTTGGCTATCTAGCTATTTGTGTACCAGTCCTCACTTGTATAGGCAGGAATTTGCTTTTCCTGCTAGATCTACCTCACTTATTTTCTCATCGTTCTAACTACTCAACTCTGCCCTGTCTAGGATATCTAGGTCATTATAAAATAGTTCCTGAAGCCAGTTTAATCAAGGCTAAGTGATGCGACACAGTGTAGATAAGTAGTTTCACCTTTACTAGCTTTAAAATAATACCAGTGCTATATATTTCACCCTAGATCATGTGAATTAAAACCTCTGGCAGTGGGACCAGGCCATATGCATTTCTTAAAAGTATCCCTAGATGAAGCAAACATGGTGTGGGCATTGAAAATCCCACATGAAATGAAGTGCTTGCAAGATTTTTGCCTTTTGAATCTCACTTTTCAAATGTACTAATAATTAAAGTTAGAGAGAACTGGCTTCAGTCTTAAAGACTCACTTCCAAACTAAAGACCTATTTGACTGAATTGACAGTATTGTGTAGACACAACTCTGATGGTTAGTCTACACTGTCAACTTGACTGGGTTGTGAAATGTCTGGGGGATCAGTAAAGCACTCCTCTGTGAGTGTGCCTGTGATGCTGTTTCCAGAGATAATTAGAACATAAGGACTCTGACCCAATAAATGGATTAATCTCTGATGGATTCATTGTGTGATGGCATTGATGGCATTATCAGAGGTGGTGAAAGGTAGGATGTTGGGCCTAGTTGGAGAAAGTAGGTTGCTGGAGATGTCCTTGGGGACTATGTCTCTCCCTGGTGTTTTTCTGTACATCTTTCTCTGCTTCCTGGCTACAATGATGTGAACTTCTCTGCTCTACCATACCCTCTCCACTGTGATAGTAGACACCTATGAAATCATGAACTAAAATAAATCCTTTTTCCTTTAAGCAAATAATACACAACTTAAATCTAGTTTTAATCTATTAGAAAGTTCAAGTTATTTTTGGCTTAATGGATCAATTACTAACTTCTAAAATATATCTTTCTTTCAACGTCAAGGTAAGATTATCAGAATTCAGACTTAGATTCAAGTTTGTAGGAAGTGAGGAGAAGAATTATTTAAATATTTTCCAATTTTAGATTTCTAGTTTTTCATATCTGATTTTTTGCAATTAAATAACCTCCCTCTTAATTGTCAGTGGACTACAATTATTCCTTTTTCTGCTGAAGTCAAAATTTATCTTACAAATGTCTTGTGGAAATATGAGTGTGGTAAATGCTAATTAAAGAAGGAAACAGAATTAACTTGCTGCTAAACTAAGAAGGAAATGAATCCATGCCAGGAGATCCGGCAGCCAGGAAAGAGAGGAGAGGAGAGACAGAGTGGGGATATGAATACAGAATTTTCTTAAAATTAGGAGAGAATTTAAAGGGGAAACAGTTAAAAGGAAAAAAATGAATCAGAAGAAAAGTTTTAATTTTCTTCTTTCTCTCTCCAGGATATAATCCATTCTTCTTTCCTGGAACCTCAGTAGCAATCATCTAGTTTCTCTTAAAGACAAACCCATGAGCTTCATCTGATAATGGCACAAGAGAGAATCACGTCAGCCAACACTGCTACATTTGAGGTCAGTAGTTCATTTGACAGTCAGATGTGAGGAAGAGCTGCTAAAAACTTAAAACCAACTCATAATACTTAGGACAATGATATTTAAGGGGCCACATCAAAACTGCCTACAAGGATTTTTAAGAAAGCACCAAAGTCATTCTGACAGAGGTTTCTAATTTGAGAATCACTGAATAAATGTTATCTGGGCATGTCTCTTCTTTGCAACTAAAAAGATTTTTACTGTCTTTTGTATGGACTTTGCTTGGGAAGTATAAATAAAATATTAATATTTTATTTCTGTATCATTGCAGAATCACCATTCCTCTCTGCACTGCATGTATAGAGCCATGCCTAACATAAAGTACATAGAGCAGAAGAAAGGGAAGCAAAGAGGTAGTGAAAGAGAAATGGATTTGTCTTTTTGAGAGTAACAGAGCAAATGGGCATACTTTAATAAGGTCGATTTTATATTGTCAGTGACAGTTGCAAAGGGATGACTTTTGGATAACTCGGAGTATATACAGAATAAGGAGCAGGACTTGGAAGTTTGAGTGTTGTTTTGAAGTCTCTGTCCAAAGGCAAGACTGCCTTCACTTCTCAAGATTCCCTACAGCAATGGCTGGCAGCCAGTATCAGGAAACCTTCAGTTTACTGGGCACCTGGGGATTTTCTAGATTCTGAAATAGGACTAGATTTAATTCTAGAACTATTAAAATAAGATGTTTAACTTTAGAAGGATTTATCTTACTTAGTTCGGACAGCATTCAAATCAAATTGGCAAGTATTTCATATGTGACCTGAAACATGGAGGTGATATAAATCTCCATAAAGCAGAACAAACTTTCTGAATAGACTCGGATGTAAATGCTGGCACTACCACCAACCAACTGCCAACCTCAGTGTCACTGATGTCTCTGCTAGAATATTAAGTATCAGGTGTGTATGTGGCGAAAGTTGATTGGTATGGAAGAATTGGGATTTTGGTAGAAAAGGTAATGGGAAGCTGGTGAATAGGCAGCTGGGCAGAGAGACAAAAGACAGATGGACAGTAGACTCGAGTAGGTCACTAACCAATTCAAGACACTATCAGTTCTGCTTCCAAATTAAGGTCTAGGGCACAAGCAGAATAATGCTGTTATGGAATCCATATTCTTACAGAGGGAGTTGTGTGGCAGCAGTGGCTCTGATGAAGTGCCTGCCTTGATGGCTTGAAAACAGTAGATACTAAAATGAAAACATCACATAAAGAACATGAATAAATGTGTTCTTGCAAGCACCCTCCGAGAAGCCCTCAGGCATTGAAAGAAAGTGGAGGCTCCACAGCTCCACAGATCAGGATTAACAACCCCATGTCAACATCGTGTTTGTTGTCTCCATAGGCAGGTGCAAAGCATGGGGACATTCAGAATTCGTATTTTATACTTTTTAAGTGTTGGAAGTCAAGTTAGTTGTCTTCTTTCAGTCTGGATAGAATCCACTTTCTGACTCAATGAGAGGGAAATTAAGTGTGGCTTATGGTGTTCAATGCTGAATTTTGCAAGCTAGGTGGATGGAGGGAAATGTCAGCATCTTGCTGTTGATGACACCTTTCAAAAACTTGAAAGCTGCACTGCAGGAGTTCACACATTCCTGACTTCTGAAAAGTACCATCAATTCAGATCCTCACATGCAATTGACAAAGATGAATCAATTCTAGACTAGGCTTCTGCTTTCATGAAAGGGATCTCTGTGCGTCTTGTTTCTGATTTCAAATGTCACAGCTTCCCAGAGAGGTATAATCCTCATTGTACTGATAATTCAAGGAAGCATTAATACAGTTTGTGTAGGTGCTTAATAGAAATAAAATAACAATAATAATGGTTGGCAGGCTGTTGCCAATGTTGTCAAAAGCATTTGCAATGATGACAATATCCACGAGACAGCAGGTAGAACAATATCAAAGCATATTGTGCCTTGTTCTATCTTAGCATGCACTTTCTTGCAAAATTCTTACCTCCTCATACTGGTGAAGCAAAGGATTTATCAAGAAAAGCACCAGGGAATAAATTTTAACTTGTGTAGCAACTCTGTTTTAGTTTTAAAATATTATTTTTGTACAATTAATTGGTTTTACATGAGGCGTTAGAATCTTTAAGAGATATACAATACAGAAGCAGAACAGATAAAGATGTTTAAATGTGTGATACGATTATTTTTAAGATAAATTTAGAAAATTTCAACTTCTTAATTATATTAATCCTTCATAACTTTTATATCATAAATTTTTGATAAATTGTTCCTTATTCAGTGAGGAATGAATACATCCTCAAGTGTAAGAAGAAATAGACTGTTTCTCTCTAAAATAAAGTAGATAAAGCTCTTTTCCACTTTTTGGAACAAGTGATTTTTGTCACATTGTAAAAATTCATGTGCATCCAAATCTCAAAGCTATTTCTCTAAATAGCTTACCAAAACGACTAACATTCTCAACTCCATCAATGATTGCTTTGTACTCCAAATTTTCTTCTAGTCCAACCTGTTAAAAAAGAATACATTCAAAAAACAGGATCAAACAATTGACTATTTAATAAAAGTGAATGGACTAATGAATTCTATTTAATTATGAAGAACAATGTGTTCCAAACATCTTTTTCTCCCTCACAGCAGGGTCAAAACAAATAAAACCAGTGAAAACCTAACAACTCTTAGATTTGTCCCTAAGAAAAGTAAAATTTAAAATGACATGGTTCACAGTTACTGCTATATAATTACGACACTTCTATTGACAAATAAGCAAATCTGTGTACTCGTAGAGCAGTTTGCTCCAGTTGTAAGAAACTTACCCTATTAATGATTCTACAAGCCCCCTTTTAAACATACCAGCTAAGGACTAATCCTCTGGGAAATGACCACGACTTATCATTGTGGTTGTCTGCTCTTCTGTTTATAGAACATACGTCTCGATATTTGACATCAATATTTCATGTGATTAGGAAAGGATTTAGCTGTGAATCCATGGATGGTGATTACCTCAAATAAAGTGGATAAAGCTCTTAGCCTCCCTTTTCCTTTAACTGCTTCCTCAAAACTTGAAAACCGGTCAGCATCAAAGCAGTAGATTTGCATCTATAAATGCAACAACAATAGTTTTATTAGACACAAAGGCTTCAGCAAAGTCATCAAAAAGACAATAAAGCAACTGACTAATTCAATACATTCTATTTGAAAATATCTATAGACTATGCAACTCTATATTTTTAAAACATTTTATCAATTATAAGTCTACATCATTATAGCTACTATCATGTATCAGCCTTCAATGTGGAAAGAAATACAAAGTTAGACATATCTAGGACAGCAATTACTACTTTGAGATGACTGCTTTTGAGATTCACTGGAGCAATCGTCAAACATAAAAAAGAAAAATAACCAAAGGTTATTTAACTATTTTTGCTAGAAGTCTTTCAAATATGGGACTCCTCCTATCTTGAGCATACATACCTTTCTCAATGATCCACAGTCACCATTTTGAATATTATCATACTGTGCTATACTGTGCTCTACTAATATGGAAATTCTCAAGAACTGTTTCTATCTAAACAATACCAAAAGAGTTCAAAGCTTCCTTTTTTTTTTTTTCTTTTTTTGTTTGGAGACAGGGTGTTGCCATGTGGCCTAGGCTGGACTTGAAATCATAATCCTCCTGCCTCTGCCACTGGAGTGCTGGAATTACAAGTGTGCACTCCCAACTCTGGCAACCTTCCTATTTTAACTCTCCTCTCTGCTGTGAAGCTATCCCTTGTTAATTTCTATTTCAGTTCACATTCTTTCTGTAACAGCCTGTGTTCACACTTAATGCAGTGTTCCTCAGCTCACGGGCTTGCAATTCTGGTCACCAAACTAGGTAGAAGTATAATTTAGGCAAGAGTCAAAAGCCTCCTGGAACATTTGAGAGTAATGAGGGCTTTGATGGGAGAAACAGGACTTGAAGCAGGAGAGGAGGGCAGTGGCTTTGGAGGGTCACCAAAGCCTTTTCAGAGAGAGGAATTCTAAGCTCATCTCTGAAGGATGAGCAGCTTTTAGCCCTCTGATGGGCAGGAGCGATTGACCTGAGTACTGGTCAGAGGGAGTGGACTAGGAAAGGTCTCAATGCAGAGAGTAGAAGTGTGGGAAACTGCAAGATCTTTTTGGGGAAAAAGAGGAGAAAAGAGGCTGGAGGGTAGCAAGGGCCACATCAGGCAGGACTGTGATGCACTTTGGGGTTGAGGACAACAGAAAGTCATTAATTCATTTTAGCAAACAGTGATAAGGAGAGGTGGGGTTGGGGAAAGAGATTGAGACTGAAGAGAGAGAGAAAAAGAGAGAGAAAGAAACAGAGAGAGAGAGAGAGAGAGAGAGAGAGAGAGAGAGAGAGAAGAGATATGGTTACAGTGACATTTAATAATCTATGTAAGAAACAATGGTGGTTTGAACTGTTCTCTGGCCCCTCTCATCACTTGTGGGGAAATTGGATTGAGGACTGTGGGAGACCAAGGTTGGGGGGAGTGAAGGATGTTGCTGGGGTTCACTGTTTCAACAATTACATGGAAAGTATTTTTAGAGAACAAGCAACAAAGAAACAATACTTCTGAGAGACAAGTTGAGAGGCTTTAAACAAACAAAAAAATTTGAGGTTTAGTGCACAAATTCTGTCGCATTTGTTTTGGTTGCTCCGGGCTCTTGTTGGTAACATTTTTAAACAATCTACCAAGTTTAAGTATGTCATATGGTGAAGAAGGTAAATTCTCAATAGTGAGATGTTGTGTGTTTGAGTAATTGACTTTTTTTTCTTTGACAAATCAAATTTTAAAATGTGATTTCCTTTAAGGATATTTAATGTACAACACTCCCTCCAAATTATAACCTATTAATGTGAATGTGCTTATTTACATTTAAAAAGTTTTTTAGTCCTTTAAGAGATAATGTTTCTAAAAAACAAAGACATGAAAGTGAAAAGAGGGACTATTCTGCTTTTAAAAAGTACTAATAGGGTGATACTTTTTAATGTAAGTACATTAACACATGGTTTTTACAAGACCTATTATATCCCTCCAGAATGCATTTTATCATTGCTGTCTTTTGTTTCAAATTTTATTATTACAAATAAATCTTTACAGGTAATTTTTAACATGTTTGTAATTATAGCTGCTACAAATTTAAATGGTGAGTATTGTTACTAAATCATTTAAATTACTTCCTAGGGCTGGCAGAGTGGCTCAAGTAGTAACAAGGGTGAGGCCCTGAGTTCAAACCCTAGTACCACTAAAAAAAAAATTACTTTCCAGAAAGCCTGCCAGTTTAGAGTTTCTTTAGACATGAAAATTCTTATTTTATTGCATATACTGTATATTATTATTATATTTATTTTGCTAATTTTAAAGCTTAAGATTTTTCTCATTTTTTTCCCCACTACTAGGGATTGAACTCAGGACATTGTGTCTCCAGTCCTTTGTGGTTTAGCTTTTATTTCTCAAATAGGGTCTCCTAAGGTTTTTGCCTAGCCTGGCCTGAAACCAAGATCCTCCTACCTCTGCTTCCTGATTCTGGGATTATAGGCATTGCCCTTTATGTACTCATTCATTCATCAACATTAATTCATCAGCTATTAAGTAGCAGTCTGTGTGCCCAGGGATGGAAAATGAAAGATAGGTCTTAGGCTCATGAGCTCACTCTAGAGAGAGAAGGCAGCTCTTAATCAAGTAATCAAAACATAACCATTAGAATTACCAAAACTGACTGAAAAAATAATCAAATTGTACATGAGATAAAATCTCAATGATTTAGGAAATAAAATCGTAATCAGCAGAACTACTGACTTACCTCGAGTGGGAACTTCTGTCCTTCCAAACTATGCTCTGACCCATCCGATGACACATTGCATTTTCCCCAGTGAAATGTTATTTTGCTTGCCTTGAACACCGTTTCTGAAAGCCCTCCACTGAGACGGTAGTCATTAGTGAGATTAACTTCCACTAAATCAAAACAAAAACAACACAAGTGCATCTAAGTTTCTGAAAATCAAAATTATAAGTTTCAACTATATTTCCTTCTATTGAAGATAATATTAAGAAATTCATTGATTTGATAAATTTAAAAAGTTATTAAGTCATTTTGGAAGCTCAACTTTGTAGTCTTACACAATGCATTTACTGTATCATATTGTGACAAATGTCAAGGAAGACCATAACTACTGTAGGACTCTGAAGAAGGGGACAGCCAGCTCACCTGCCCTGATGGTCCTGGGGCTGCCATCCCTCCAAAGCTCTTCTTCCCCAGGCATTTGATGGTAACAAAAGGACAAAGTTTGTGGAGAAAGAACAGAACACTGAAAGAAGAAAGGTCTTCCTCTGGGATGCTTGCACTTTCTCACTGTCAGCTTGTTTCTACCCGCACCCTGTGTCAGGCTATTACATCTGTCCTGTCTCCCATCTCTCCAAGCAATACCTAGGTTTCATGTGACTCCAGAATCTTTCTCAGGCTGTGGCAAGAAAAATGTGAAGCTTACTCCTATTGAAAGGGTTTTATCCGCCCCATGTTTAAACTCTCAGTGGCAACCATCAGAATAGGTCCGAAACTCCTCCATAAGTCCATCACAGATTACATTTTATGAGTAGTCAGGAGAATGATTTTTCTGAGAGCCTAGTGCAAGGTTTTGATCTCTCAATCAGAATCAAATAGTCTTTGTTCTACTAGGCAGAAACCACTGTTGGTTCAGTGACAGATTCCAACATGCTAGCTAGCTAGCTAGGGATCCAATGATTAACCATGATCGTAATGACAGGAACAATAACAATGAAACAATGGCACTGGACATTTATCATCTCCAATGTACCATGCCCTGCACTAAGTACTTTATACCTTTTGTCCTCTTGATCTTCACATGACCCTAGGAAGTAAATGCCATTATAATTCCTATTTCACAGATAAGAAAATTGAGTCACAAACAAGGTTAACTTCCTCAGGTTTCCACGTGTTATTAAACAGAGGTCACCTCCCTACAGTTTTGCAACACCCCCAAAAATTAGCATTGAAATGTCAGGATTTGGGACAATATACTTTTATTATTTAATTTATAATATAGCATATAAGAAATTTCTTATTCATCTACTTCATGTGTATTGCATATAAGACACTGAAATAGATGAATTCCTCATGGGTTTGAAATTTAATTATTACATTTAAATAACTATATTACCTAAACATGAAACATAAGGAAGAAATCACTAATGATAAAATCACCTCAACAAAGTTACTATTATAATTTTGATTATTTTTCTAATTTATGTAGATTAGTTTTCATGTAACTTGTTGATATGACTTTTCATGTAAAATAATATCAAACATGTCACTTTATGAAAATTATTTGTACATGTATTATTTATGGTCATTTTTAAAAAATGTTAAGCTATTACATTTTGTACTGATTTTGTTTTGAAAATAGTCTCAGGCTTGGTGTAGTGGCTCATGCCTGTAATCCCAGCTACATGTAAGGTGAAGATCAGAATGATCTTCATTTTGCCAGTTCAGGCAAAATGTTAGCAATACTCCATCTTAACAAATAAGCCAAGCATGGTGGTGCACACCTGTAATGACAGCTACATGGAAGGCATAGGCAGGAAGATCATGGTCTAGACAAAAAGTAGAGATCCTATCTGAAAACTACTTAAAGCAGAAAGGGCTGGAGGTGTGGTTTAAGTGGTAGAGTGCTTGCCTAGCAAGTATGGGGCCCACCACTAAAACCAAAACAAAATATAACCAGATAATCTCAAAAGAAGGCAGTTAACAAGTGCTTCCTAAGGATGGTTTATAATTTTAAACCCTCTATATATAAGGGCTAGTAACTTTTTTCCTTAAATTTCAATTATAGTTGATAGCTTCTTTTCATATCCAAATATTGAATTTAGCATGAGGCTACTTAGCAAAGACCAAACTATAATGTCCAAGACATGGAAATCTTGATTAAGTCATGTCTGGCCAGTGGTGGAGTTATTAAATTACATCAGCTATAATTACATTATCTTTATCACATCTTCAAGTGGCAAGATCACTGTTACACTTCTGGAAAACATGGCATGATGATGCTGGTCATTTTATATTTTGTACAAATTTTTAGTATGTCTAAATTTCTAATTTTCTCTGCTCCATTTGGCTTCTATTCAGTTCCTAACACAAAACTCAAAAGAAATGCAATGAAGTTTATCTAAAACATATCTAAACAGGTCAAAGAAACATCACATAGACAACAGAATACAAACAGTACCTGTCTTCCCAGTGTTGTGAATGAATGTGTTTTCCAAAGATATTTTATCCCAACCCTGAAATTTCAGTTTCTTAAGATTCACATTTACTTGTGTAAGATCTTCATCAATATTGATAGGAGATTGTTTTGGACTATTACATGTTGGATATTTCTTTCCCCAATTTTTTTGATTCAGTGCTCCTAGGGAAAAGAAAGAGAAAGGAAATTAGTTTCTTAAATTATTATGCAAAAGCTACAGTTTATTATAAGTTAATACATGATATAAAGTGGATATAATAGTAGGTAAAACTGGTGTATGTTTGAACTAATTTATAAAACAACTATGCCTAGATTTAGGTTCTAGCTTTTAGTATGAAGCACAATAAACAGAGGACTGTTGAACAACCATGCCAATGTTAGAGTTCAACAATGTCTTGGTCAGCCATCACGTCCTCCAAATCAACAAAAGCCAAGTTATTAGGTAAGGTCCTAGCCTGGGGTTCCAGACTAAAAGAAGTCTAGAAAGAGGAGTTAATTCTGTCTTCCATAGCAATCTGCAGTGGGGCAGCCCCTTCAGAACTAATGTCACCCATGCTATTGAATTATTTGGTTTGATTTCTTACTAATAAAAATATATACCACCAGGTATCCTTGAAACATCTGCCTTTCCTCCTCCATTTCTTTTTTTTTTTTCTTGGTCATAAACTTTACCAAGTCTTGTATGAGAGCAGGAAAAACAACACACAGCTTCCTAAAAAGATTTTTGTTTACAGTGAAGTGAATTTTCATCTTTTCCACACAATGACCAAAACTGAACCAAAACTGCCCTATGTGTTCTTTATTTCACCTTCACCTGAAATTGTGAACCATTTCCTGTAACCTTATTTCAATTGATGTTAATTGAGGACCCAAGCAGTGCTAAGAATGGGTACAATCTGTTTAAAGTTCGATTAAAGTACATGAAATTTTGTGAGTCCAAGGCTTAACTTTTCTCTGGTTAAACGCTAGCATTTTTTTTTTTTTTAACTCATCACAAGAAAGAGCAGAATGGTGGCATAGTTTTCAGTGTAAAGAGTTTTGAATATTTTTCTTTCAGAAAATGAGTATGGGTAAGGCCAAGGTTTTACATGACTGAGATTTAGGGAAATTATAATACATGATACATCCTGGCCTATCTTCTTTTTGTGATAGGATAGACAACAAGGACTTCATCGCAAGTTCAATACAAACTCAGTATATGGGCCACCTCTCAGAATGTGACAAAGCTAATTTGCATAAATTAGTCCAGGAATCAAACAATATTAGTTGCATTGTGTAACTGCCTACATAGGCAGAATTCAGATAAAACATCTCATAGTGAGGTATCTACCAGAATGAATAGGTGCTGAAAACTTATTTTACTTTAAAATTTGGCTGTATTCCTAGAGAGTGTTTGAGCACAATGTGCTTTAAGTATGCACAGTGATGCATATTTTGGCTTCTAGGAATAGTTTTTAATGATTTCAGTAATGATATGTTGATTTCACTTATAAGGAACTTTGGCACTAGAACAAAAAAGCACTGCTTATTTTATTAATGTCAGTGTAAGAGAAGCAGAGAGAAACACAGCATGAATCAATAAGGTCCTTTTCATTGCTTACATTTTAAAACACAATATAATAATTCCAAGCACACTTGTAAGAGTCACTTAGCTTCAATGCACAGAAGTGTGGGGTTTCAAGTCTTGGATAACACCGATGTGGTGTGAAAGCCTTCTCTTTAGACCACATTTCATGACCCCACTGCTTGGATTCTAAATGGAGTCTTGTACTTAGAATATCCAAAATGGAACTTGAGATTTCTGCTTTGAAACAAGCTTCTTTGCCATCTTTTGAACTTGAAGGTCATCCAGACATCTCTGTTTTCCGTTTTTAGAAAGCCATGTTGGGTCTGTCTTCAAAATATATCTCTAAACTGACTGAGATGGGTCATGGGAAGCAAGGAGGCTTTGGCAGAATAGAGGCACAGAGCTGCCTCGTCAGGGATTAAGCTAGTAAGTAAGGAGGATAGGTAGAAAGGGAAGGCCATTTTCATAGACATCTTCTACTTGTCTTCCTTTGATTTTTATAGCATCCTGTACTTGTTTGAATTACAATCTCTCTCCCTCTTATTCATGTAGTAATTTAAGCACCTTTCTTAGAGGCTGGCACTGAAGGACTAAATAATCATTTGCTGGATGAATATATGCTTCAGTTGTTAGCAACAGACACCTACCTTCAGGGTCCATGTGCTACACAGATGGACCAGTATTCTAGAGAGGGACACATTTTATGAAACATTCTGGATGAGAAAATGTTAACTCTACTAGTCACTAACACAAAAATGTGAAGCAAGAAAAACAAGTGTAAAATACTATACCAATATTATACCAATGAAAGTGTTTGAATGTTTAGAAGAAAAGTGAGACAATAATGCAAGTGAAAGAAAGGAAATTATTTTGTCCCTCTATTTTTTTCTCTCTCTTTTGCATTATTTTTTTTACCAGTCTTACCTTCAAATATCAGATAAATGGATAATTATTATACTGTGTAGGGCACTCAGCAGAGATCTACTGAAAATTCATAGGAATATGATAAAAATCCCAACACTGATGTATGTACAAGATTACCATGAATTGCTATCAGTGAACAAGATTTGAATTCTGTAGACTTACAACTGATAACAGAAGACCAAGGTGTTGTTAAGAAAACCAAAGACTGCTTTTAATCTTAGTTTTCACTACACTCTGGGTATTGATGTAAGAAAGTGTTTGTGTCTCCGTACATTCACATATAAAAATATTATGAAAAGACAAATTCTAGAGTGATATTGAAGACTGTAATTACATTGTAGGATCTACTAACTGACTTTAATAAAATGCACTCAATATTCCATGCACTATAAGTCAGTCTTATAAATTACTGTGGGCTTGCTTTCTATATGCTAACCAACATACCAAAGAGCCAAAATTAAAAGAAAAAAAATTCAAGTCCTATAATGCTATTAGCAATGAATAATCTCAAATTTTAGTTTGTTTAAATACAAAAATAAAATAAATCTATTATTTTCAGTGAGAGTGTAGCATACAATTTAGATTTTAGGAAATACAGATGAATTATTGAAGAAGATATTCTCCAGATGTACAATTTAGCTACCTGAGAAAGGGCATTTCTCAAAAAGTTATAATCTAAAATTACTGAATAACTATTGTTAAGTGATTATATGTCACACTAGTAAATGGCTTCCTATAAATAGACTCAAGCAAAGGAGGATGTCTAAGATAACTTCCTCTTTGCAAACAGGAATGCACAAATCAGTGTGCCTGTTTCTGGTTTTGGCCAGAAAGAGGCTTTTGGAGCTAGAAGAACAAAGCAATTGGTGCATGTTGGTAACTTCTGCTATTAAGGCTGCACGAACTCAGTTCAGCTGCAAACCCTCTCAGGACGAGAGCCTTTATGGTCAAGACTGCATTTGCTTTTGTTATCTGTCCTTCTGGGACACTTCTATCAGCAAAGCAGAGAATCTTTGCAAGCCTGGTTGAAACAGGTAACTGACAGGGAGTTCCCTCTCAGGAAAGGTAGCTATTTATGTATTTAGGAGAGTTCTGGCACAAATGTTCCAATAGCATTACGACATTTACGAAAATTATCAACTGAAGTTCAGCACAAATGGGGAGAGGAATTTTTTTCACAGTTTCTGATTAAAATTCTAGGACTTTTTCAAGTTGGAAAAATCCCAAGCAAAAACCCTACAAAAAATATTGCTATATGACATAATAAACAAGATTGTTGCAGACCACAGGGGTGGGGAAGGATAAAAACACAAGATGAAAAATTAAGTCATTGACACAGTAAATACTATAATCTGTACTGAGGAAAAAATTGAATCAATAAACAGAACAAATATGATGATATACACAATGGATCATAATTAATTCATTGCTTTAATCAGAAAATGAAACAAATCCTGTAATGAAAATTTTACTTATGGCAAGAAATTACGGAAACAGAAAGTAATGCAGTAGGATTGAGGACAAAAATAGAATGTCTACTTGAAGAATTCAGGAACATTAGAAGATTCTTATTTGAAAGTAAGGAAGGGAAAAGGGCAAATGACTCCTAAATCCTAACTACGGCATAACTGTATGTATTATGGTACAAATCATTGTAGAATTATGGCTAGAAAGAAAGACTTTGAATCTGGTTTTGGATATCTAGTCTTTGCGATGTCCATGGATGTGCATTAGACAATCCAGAATACGGGTCTGGGAGCCATTGAGAGATCTAAACTACATATAGAGACTGGGAATATCAGCATACAGGTGGTAGTTTAAAATCATGGATGTCCTTGAAATATTTCTATTAGATTAGGTAAGCGAGAGGACAGTCAGTTTAAATACGACAAAGGGGAGCATTGACATTTAGGGGGCATAAAGGCAAGAGATAGAACCATAGGAAGTTAGGAATGAGAGGCATGAAAGAGAGTTGCAAATCTAAGAGAAAATGTATCATGAAACTCATAGAAATACGGCTTTGACAATGAGGGAATATCACAAAGTGTGTGTCATATCCAGTGGATACAGCCCATGGGGTCATTACTGAGGAGTGAACACTAGATTTTATCTCCCAACTCCAAATCTAATATTCCTAAAATAAAACAATTTTGGTGTAATCATAGACTGGGCATTCAGATTACAGAGTGAGTTAAAGGTAACAAAGTAGAATTCAAGGGCTTTTAAACAGGTGCCTATGAAGGAAAAAATGATAAGGTGGCACACAGAGACAGAAGCATGGATGCACTTATGGAGGCATCACTCAAAAGTGTGTATTTTTGTTTTACACATTTAAAAATGTTGACAATACCAACAACTTGATGGACAGAGAGGTTAGGTAGCTGCAGTCCTAGCAGAGATTACTAGGGTGGATTGGTGGGAGTTTAAAACACCAGGCAAATGGATATTCTGGCAACAGTATGTTGAAATCCTCCCCCTTCCCCCAGCCAATCTGATATGGAGAAAAAGAGTAATATTTTAAAAAGTTATTGAACATTTACAACCATGGCTTGGCTGCCTGGGTCATTTTTTTCTTTGAAATTATAAAGATGAGAGAGTGGTAAAGCCCAAGACTGTAGTGTTTCTGCAGTTGCTAGTTGCTCTAGCCTGGTATTAAATATTTAATCAAAAT